ACCTGTGTGGTAATACAAATACATAACGGAGTGTATAGTAAAATCTACCATAGACCTGTGTGGTAATACAAATACATAACGGAGTGTATCGTAAAATCTACCATAGACCTGTGTGGTAATACAAATACATAACGGAGCGTATCGTAAAATCTACCATAGACCTGTGTGGTAATAGAAATACATAACGGAGCGTATCGTAAAATCTACCATAGACCTGTGTGGTAATATATAACGGAGTGTATAGTAAAATCTACCATAGACCTGTGTGGTAATACAAATACATAACGGAGTGTATAGTAAAATCTACCGTAGACCTGTGTGGTAATACAAATACATAACGTGTGGTAGTGTATAGTAAAATCTACCATAGACCTGTGTGGTAATACAAATACATAACGGAGTGTATAGTAAAATCTACCATAGACCTGTGTGGTAATACAAATACATAACGGAGTGTATAGTAAAATCTACCATAGACCTGTGTGGTAATACAAATACATAACGTAGTGTATACTAATAGACCTGTGTGGTAATACAAATACATAACGGATGTATAGTAAAATCTACCATAGACCTGTGTGGTAATACAAATACATAACGGAGTGTATAGTAAAATCTACCATAGACCTGTGTGGTAATACAAATACATAACGGAGTGTATCGTAAAATCTACCATAGACCTGTGTGGTAATACAAATACATAACGGAGTGTATCGTAAAATCTACCGTAGACCTGTGTGGTAATATATAACGAAGTGTATCGTAAAATCTACCATAGACCTGTGTGGTAATACAAATACATAACGGAGTGTATCGTAAAATCTACCATATACCTGTGTGGTAATACTAATACATAACGGAGTGTATCGTAAGATCTACCATAGACCTGTGTGGTAATATATAACTGAGTGTATAGTAAAATTTACCATAGACCTGTGTGGTAATACAAATACATAACAGAGTGTATCGTAAGATTTACCATAGACCTGTGTGGTAATATATAACTGAGTGTATAGTAAAATTTACCATAGACCTGTGTGGTAATACAAATACATAACAGAGTGTATCGTAAGATCTACCATAGACCTGTGTGGTAATATATAACGGAGTGTATAGTAAAATTTACCATAGACCTGTGTGGTAATACAAATACATAACGGAGTGTATAGTAAAATCTACCATAGACCTGTGTGGTAATACAAATACATAACGGAGTGTATAGTAAAATCTACCATAGACCTGTGTGGTAATACAAATACATAACAGAGTGTATCGTAAAATCTACCATAGACCTGTGTTGTAATACAAATACATAACGTGATGTATAGTAAAATCTACCATAGACCTGTGTGGTAATACAAATACATAACGGAGTGTATAGTAAAATCTACCATAGACCTGTGTGGTAATACAAATACATAACGGAGTGTATAGTAGAATCTACCATAGACCAGTGTGGTAATATAAATACATAACGGAGTGTATAGTAAAATTTACCATAGACCTGTGTGGTAATACAAATACATAACAGAGTTATCGTAAAATCTACCATAGACCTGTGTGGTAATACAAATACATAACGTGATGTATAGTAAAATCTACCATAGACCTGTTTGGTAATACAAATACATAACGGAGTGTATAGTAAAATCTACCATAGACCTGTGTGGTAATACAAATACATAACGGAGTGTATAGTAGAATCTACCATAGACCAGTGTGGTAATATATAACGGAGTGTATCGTAAAATCTACCATAGACCTGTGTGGTAATACAAATACATAACGGAGTGTATAGTAAAATCTACCGTAGACCTGAGTGTTAATACAAATACATAACGGAGTGTATAGTAAAATCTACCATAGACCTGAGTGTTAATACAAATACATAACGGAGTGTATAGTAGAATCTACCATAGACCAGTGTGGTAATATAAATACATAACGGAGTGTATAGTAGAATCTACCATAGACCAGTGTGGTAATATATAACGGAGTGTATCGTAAAATCTACCATAGACCTGTGTGTTACTATACATTTTAAGTAGTTTTGTTGTATGGTTACAATACATCCCGTGTGAACGATAAGATTTAAAATTATGGATATTTTGATATTGTTTATATATAGGTAAATAAGTATACTATTCTCCAGGAGATTTAACATAAACTTGTTTCTTGTACAATAGTACCATTAACAACTAACTTCAGTATATGTAGGCAGTGGCGTTAGGGATGGAGAGATTTGATATGACAGCTGTAAGAAGAGTTCTCCAGCAACAAAACACAGCGTCCATGTAAAACTGTGATACAGATAGTTGTGCCTGGAGTACTATATGGATAATTTAATCTGAAGTATTTTGAAGACGAATTGTGCTTGATTTTTAAAAAGAAAGTTAATGAGATGCTATCTAAAAGTATGATACTACACCATGTTTAACACACACATACTGTATATCTGTCTATAGACGGAAGGTATCAATTTAGCATCTGTTTCTGTAGTTGACACGTTAGCGCTGTGTGGACCAGATAATGTGTCTATCAATTGTGTTAACTCAGTGAACGACCCTAATACCCGTAATACTACGGTCAGATCTGTTCTTGTGAATGTAGGTATATTCCCATGGTTTGTGTTACTATCAGCTATATAATATCTATCTGTATATATTGACTGATGTAACAGTTGATACCACTATCATACTGATCTATGGAGAGGATAGGTACCTACAGACAAGTAAACAGCAGTCTCTTTGATGTGTACTCTACTTATATCAGTACATTATACCTACATCGCTAGACCATCAGGAGTTGGGTGTAGATAACACATTGTGTACGGATGATAAATGCATAAATTTACACGTTTGAATTAGAAAAAAGATGTTATATAAAAAAGCATTATAACTATGCCCAATGGTTATGTATTTGTCACCCATTATACACTATCAATGACAAATATTTCTTATATGGTTCCTTGGGTCCTAGTTTCTTCCTTAATTAACCACCATAGGAAAGTATTACATAAGTTAAGGAAATGAAGATTTCCTTAAGCTAAGGAAGAAAGGTGAAACTGAGACCTGATACCTTAATCTAAGGTCAGAATCAAAATCATGAAACGTCAAATTGATTGAAACGATTTGGAAGCAAACGCACTTTATTTCAACATTTCTATTTCCCTGTATATCTCATTTATTCAGAAACTGACTGAGACGTTTCAATATATTTATCCCTTGACCCATTACGTAATTCCATCGATGTGAATAAAACGTACATGTATATGCGTTCACCTTATTAATTTAAGTGTAAATGTAGCAGTTAAAAAAGATTATGTGGCGGGGTAATGTAGCATATGTTAAGATTACAATGTTAAACTACACACCATGAGTATAACGATGACGTTTGGTAATATTTTGTGCATTAGAATAAGCAAGGTTTTTTTCACACATTTTATCTGAATGTTCGGTATAGAGAAGAACCGGATACGAATAGTAATGTGATATACGCGTGTCCAGCTTCTGTCCGTTGGCCCTCTTGACCACTGACCACGGTGATTACCCTTGGTTATCTTATGTTGACTATCAGATTGTATCTAGTGTTCACAGTCCTGTCCTCGTTTTATACCTAGCATAGTCAGCTTGGTACCATCCTTAGTTTATAGACATAACCTTCATAATAAGTGACATGTTCTTCGTCAGCCTGCTTCATATCAAAACGAGAGATTATCACGTGCAATTTCTCACTCATTATCCTTGACTTATCTGTTTGTTTTCTGGCGAGAACTGTCATTCACTCACACGACAATGGATATATTCACACGAGATAACATTTGGACATCTTCACACTAGATAAAGCGTTTCCGGAGGATCATGCGAGTGGACCATGAGTATTTTCTGACCGATACATGCGCACTCATTGCCCATATTTGAATAATAAAACCATAACTGTTATGGATGAATGTATCCACAAGTTCGCTAAAGTTTTGACAGAAATTTGTTCATTCATTGAATTAAATTAAGAAGTTCAAATACTTATTTTTTTCAAGTTGGCAATCAAATGGCTTCTTCGGCAATTTTCCTGTTTTGAACTGGCGAACGTGGTTAGATCATATCTAGCTTTTAAATATTGGTGTATTTGTAGAAGTGTATGTTTCAGTAGAAACCTATATATACACTATGATAACATTGCGCAATATCTATCGTTAATAATCTAACAATCAGATCGACCTACATAATAGATAATTTTATCTTTATGACCCACCTAGCAAAGAAATAAACACAACCATAAAGAAAACGAAAAAAGAAAAACGTGCGAGGCAAACAAACCGATCAAGGTTTTCACTGAAGGTGTGTGAAATACCACACCTATAAGTTTTACTAAGCAGTACCATTAAGTTTCATTTTGAAGTATGTGATCTCATACCGTCAATGTTAACGAATGTGTATCTACTGTACGTCCGTGTTATTACTCCTGCCAAAGGCATTTACTACAGGTATTAAATATGGACTCAGCCTATAACTAGAAAACCGTTCAGTTAATATTGAAAAAAACATCGCAGCAGGCTATACCCCATGCCTTCTCATTATTGGCGAGATCGCAGGTTCTCTGGTACAATTAAAATAAAAATACATAAAAAAGAAAGAGAAATTACTGTTTACACTTGAAAATTATTCAACCCTCTGAAATATCAGATTAGTGCCCTGTTTGTGCCTTTCTAATATTGAGGAGATCTCATTTACGATATTTCTTCTTTTACCATGGAACTACCAACAATTACAAAATTTACTATTGACAAGATTTTCTGGGAAATAACTTGAAACACATATTTAAGATGATGGTTGTCTTCAGCATAAACTAAAATAGAAAACTATTTATTTCGCGAGATTCCGGAATCGTGTGTTTCCTTTATCAATTAGTGCAATTGAGTGTTGACTACAGTTCAATGTACAATGTTTGTTTCAGTTTACTTGAAATGTTTCTAATTTATATTCTCTTTCGTTCATCAACAGATATATCTGATAGAAGTCAGATAAGTATTGAGCTCTGCCACAGTGATCTCTGGCACGCCTTCCATAACCTAGGAACGGAGATGATTATCACCAAAACTGGCAGGTAAATCACAAACCTGTAGATCTATATTGTCAGTCACATACCTGTTACTGCATATACTGTTATTTATAATCAGCCAATCAAACATTTAACATGTTGTTGTAGATAATGATAAGCCAATCGTCGATTACTTTACATCGTAATCAGCGAATCCCAAACCCTTTAATATACATGCATTTTAATAATCAATGATATTATAAGTTAATATTTAAAGTCAAATTGTTACATTTTTTTCCCCCGAAACATCATTATTTTTGCAGACGAATGTTTCCCGCAGTCAGGGTGAGAATCCAAGGACTTGAACCCAACAAACGCTACAGAGTGTATTTAGACTTTCAACAACAGGATAAACACAAATACAGATATGTATACCACAGGTAAGTTAGTAAGTCTGATTGGTAAACTTCAGGTAAGGTAATTAGTTAGACAGGTATACCACCGGTAAGTTGGTAAGTCTGATTGGTAAACTTCAGGTAAGGTAATTAGTTAGACAGGTATACCACAGGTAAGCTGATAAGACAAATATATTAAAGATAAGCTGGTCAGTCTGACACATAAACCACACGAAAATCTGTTGGTCAAACAGGTGGACCATAAGTAAACTGATTAGTTTGATATGTATACCACGGGGAGAATATTTTATCAGTTTTTTTTTTGTGCTAGGTGTGAACCATTTCAATTAATACTTTCATTTGTGTTATATATAACAATGATTTGTATTGGCAGCACGACTGGAATCCTTTATTTAGATCACTTTAGCATTTATCATACTTCATGTATTGATGATCCAGGTGACAGTTCTATTTCAGTAAGAGATGTTCCGTTCACAAATGACAGTAGTCTTGGCCTCATTTTCCCAATTATAAGAGATTTGAAAATCTTTATCTCCTTGTGACTTTCAGTTCAAAATGGATGGTGTCCGGTTCCGGAGAGACCATGGTCCCTAACCAAGTTCATCATCATCCAGACTCTCCATTGGACGCTTCCCATCTGACGTCACAAGTCGTGTCATTCGAACGTATCAAGTTAACCAACAGCGATAAGTCGAGAGCGGGCCAGGTATTAATATATAATTAGAATAACAGCAAGTGTATTGCAGGATTAAACAAAATACAAAATATATGAATAACTGTATTACACTGCAACATACACACGTGTCGTCCATCTAAGACTCGTCAATGACACTCGGGATCAAAAGTGTGGGAAATGAGAATGGAGGATAGGAAAATCAAAATTGACAAATAATGTTTAACCAATCTGGTTACAATGTAATTTGCATATTCAATAATCTTATAAGAACATGAAATTAATTTTTATGGCCGCCATTTAGTAAAACAATGATAACACACACATATGAATAGCATCTTTTATACAAATTTAGAGATACAGTAGACTCTTCAGTGATGCTAAAAATCTCAATTTTGAAACTTATGGGCGACTGACGAAAACCAAAAGTGGCAAAAGAAATGCCAAATATAGATGGGGATGTGCACTAACCCCATTATTAAATAAATTCCGGGTGTATATATATAGCAAGCCTCAGTTTCATAAATCTTCCTTAACGTAAGGAATTTGACTTAAAATTTTCCATAGGATAGCATTTTATACACTTTTGTAAGTGAAAGAAACTTCCTTAAATCTAAGTGTTTTATTAACTCAAGGATCTGTGTTAGTTTAGATTTTTATGTTAAGGAAGATTCGTGAAACTGGAGTAATATTAGAACAAAGTATAGCAAATGTGAATATTCTGAAAAGTGCCACTTTACTAAAAGTCAACCAGCAGTATCTACCACCAACAATCTCGGAGACAACAGACAAAAGTACAAAAGACAATAGTTAATAATTAGTATATCTTTCCTATAGTCTTACACCTGTATGCCATACAAGAATGGTGAATTTAGGTGTGGCATATTGAGTTCCCAGAGCTGGAATAAGAAAGTGATATTTGTGACCAATAAATGACACATAATGTGTATGAAAAAAGTCAAGTGTTACCATACAGCTTTCGAGGACGGCAGAATTGTATTATTACCTAAACATTACGATAAATTAAAAAGATTACATTATCAGTGAAGGTAAGATGGTATGACCTGAAAGTATTGCTTTGCATTATTAAGACAGCGTAAGAATACATTCGTGTGATTGGCTATTGAGTGTGACTTTATCCAATGAAATTCTTCCACATATGTTTGCTATAGTCTCAAACCCCGTATGTCTAACGAGAGCGTGAAACACCAATGATATTACACGCTTTTTCTTCAGGTATCCTTAGTGTCAATGCAAAAATTCATCCCACGAATACATGTGGAGAGTGTGATGACGGACCACGTAGCAGGAGAGTTTGAGAAGCAACATTTTGTAGTCACGTTCCCACAAACGTCCTTTATAGCGGTAACAGCTTACCAAAACCAAGAGGTGGGTTATATCATTTCAAAACCAAGAGGTGGGTTATATTATTTCAAAACCAAGAGATGGGTTATATCATTTCAAAACCAAGAGATGGGTTAAATCAGCTCAAAATCAAGAAGTGGGTTAGATATAATTTAAAACCAAGAGGTAGGTTACACCAGTTAAAACCAACAGGTGGATTAAATAAGTTCAAAACCAACAAATGCGTTAAATTAGTTCAAAACCAAGAGGTGGGTTATATCATTTCAAAACCAAGAGATGGGTTAAATATAATTCAAAACCAAGAGGTGGGTTAAATAAGTCCAAAACCAAGAGTTTGGTTAAATAAGTTAAAAACCAAGAGTTTGGCTAAATAAGTTAAAAACCAAGAGGTGGGTTAAATTAGTTCAAAACCAAGAGGTGGGTTAAATAAATTAAAAACCAAGAAATGGGTTAAATTAGTTTAAAACCAAAACAATGGGCTAAATAAATAAATGTCTCTGCTTCTAACATTCACTTTGTGGAGAGTAAGTAATTTTATATCACGTACTGCTATAACGTTATCAACATATGGTAGATTAAATAATGGGTAGGTAATCATATTGGAAACAACAAATAATGATAATATCAACAATACATAGAGTTAATGACGGTAGACAACATACCTGTAGTTAATGACGGGTAGACAACATACCTGTAGTTAATGACGGGTAGACAACATACCTGTATTAATGACGGTAGACAACATACCAACATACCTGTATTAATGACGGGTAGACAACATACCTGTAGTTAATGACGGGTAGACAACATACCTGTAGTTAATGACGGGTAGACAACATACCTGTAGTTAATGACGGGTAGACAACATACCTGTATTAATGACGGGTAGACAACATACCTGTATTTAATGACGGGTAGACAACATACCTGTAGTTAATGACGGGTAGACAACATACCTGTAGTTAATGACGGGTAGACAACATACCTGTATTTAATGACGGGTAGACAACATACCTGTATTAATGACGGGTAGACAACATACCTGTAGTAAATGACGGTAGACAACATACATGTAGTTATTGACGAGTAGACAAAACCTGTATTAATGACGGTAGACAACATACCTGTATTTATTGACGGGTAGACAACATACCTGTAGTTAATGACGGGTAGACAACATACCTGTATTTAATGACGGGTAGACAACATACCTGTAGTAAATGACGGGTAGACAACAAACCTCTAGTTAATGACGGGTAGACAACATACCTGTATTAATGACGGGTAGACAACATACCTGTATTAATGACGGGTAGACAACATACCTGTATTAATGACGGGTAGACAACATACCTGTATTTAATGACGGGTAGACAACATACCTGTATTTAATGACGGGTAGACAACATACCTGTATTTAATGACGGGTAGACAACATACCTGTATTTAATGACGGGTAGACAACATACCTGTATTAATGACGGGTAGACAACATACCTGTATTTAATGACGGGTAGACAACATACCTGTAGTTAATGACGGGTAGACAACATACCTGTATTAATGACGGGTAGACAACATACCTGTATTAATGACGGGTAGACAACATACCTGTATTTAATGACGGGTAGACAACATACCTGTATTAATGACGGGTAGACAACATACCTGTATTAATGACGGGTAGACAACATACCTGTATTAATGACGGGTAGACAACATACCTGTATTTATGACGGGACAACATACCTGTACAACATACCTGTATTAATGACGGTAGACAACATACCTGTATTTAATGACGGGTAGACAACATACCTGTAGTTAATGACGGGTAGACAACATACCTGTATTAATGACGGTAGACAACATACCTGTATTTAATGACGGGTAGACAACATACCTGTATTAATGACGGGTAGACAACATACCTGTAGTAAATGACGGTAGACAACATACCTGTATTTATTGACGGGTAGACAACATACCTGTATCAATGACGAGTAGACAACATACCTGTATTAATGACGGGTAGACAACATACCTGTATTTAATGACGGGTAGACAACATACCTGTATTAATGACGGGTAGACAACATACCTGTATTTAATGACGGGTAGACAACATACCTGTATTAATGACGGGTAGACAACATACCTGTATTGACGGAAATGACGGGTAGACAACATACCTGTATTAATGACGGGTAACAACATACCTGTATTAATGACGGTAGACAACATACCTGTATTAATGACGGTAGACAACATACCTGTATTTATTGACGGGTAGACAACATACCTGTATCAATGACGAGTAGACAACATACCTGTATTAATGACGGGTAGACAACATACCTCTATTTAATGACGGGTAGACAACATACCTGTATTAATGACGGGTAGACAACATACCTGTATTAATGACGGGTAGACAACATACCTGTATTAATGACGGGTAGACAACATACCTGTATTTAATGACGGGTAGACAACATACCTGTAGTTAATGACGGGTACCTATACTATATTCCAGAAGTTCCTTAGAAGCTATGATGGAATCTTATGGGCTACAAGTCGAAGGTCCTAGCTCGTTTGACATGAACTCATTGTTAGGAAGAAGAATGCTGAAACGAAGTGCTCACCAAAGAGGTAATGTATTGCAGGGTACACAGATATGACGAGCCACTGTTGATTCTTTTTCGATGTAATACCGGTATGTTCGGATTCTGACAACAGTTAAAACACCTTTTCATTCTTTTCAATATATCTTATGCATGAAAATGTGTACCCAGAAGCATTGCAAACGCTATACAGTAAACTATTAAAAATTTAACTACCGTGATAGAATAGTAACTGTGACGTTTCGGTGGCTACACGGCAATCTTATCAGACAAATGACCAGTTGATAAGCATACTAGCACTGGCGAGTGTACGAGATGGTAAAGGATCGGTCAACTGTACACTGGGGTCGAAATTAGTGTGACGAGATGGTAATTAGATAATAGAAATAAAGAAATACACAAGATGGTGACGATGTACTGTAGTCAATGCGACAACTCTTTGTTTAACTGTGACTTGGTTACAGATGTGCGAGAGTCTGTGGTCCTCTAATCCTTGCTTCGTACTGACCCGCTAAGGTGTATCCAGATGCCTTCCTTAACCAGCCACTTGAAAAGATCTTTCCCTGCCGACTATATTGGAATTTTCTCGGTCAATGATATGGTTTTGCTGTGGTCGTGTTCGGTGTTGTGTAATGTTTTATTACCCACGAGTCCGTGTTCGGTGTTGTGTAATGTTTTATTACCCACGAGTCCGTGTTTTGCGTTGTGTAATGTTTTATTACCCACGAGTCCGTGTTCGGTGTTGTGTAATGTTTTATTACCCACGAGTCCGTGTTTTGCGTTGTGTAATGTTTTATTACCCACGAGTCCGTGTTCCGTGTTGTGTAATGTTTTATTACCCACGAGTCCGTGTTCAATGTAGTGTAATGTTTTATTACCCACGAGTCCGTGTTCCGTGTTGTGTAATGCTTTATTACCCACGAGTCCGTGTTTGGTATTGTGTAATGCTTTAATACCCACGAGTCCGTGTTCGGTGTTGTGTAATGTTTTATTACCCACGAGTCCGTGTTTTGCGTTGTGTAATGCTTTATTACCCATGAGTCCGTGTTTGGTATTGTGTAATGTTTTATTACCCACGAGTCCGTGTTTGGTATTGTGTAATGCTTTAATACCCACGAGTCCGTGTTCGGTATTGTGTAATGCTTTATTACCCATGAGTCCGTGTTTGGTATTGTGTAATGTTTTATTACCCACGAGTCCGTGTTCGGTATTGTGTAATGTTTTATTACCCACGAGTCCGTGTTTGGTGTTGTGTAATGTTTTATTACCCACGAGTCCGTGTTTGGTGTTGTGTAATGTTTTATTACCCATGAGTCCGTGTTTTGCGTTGTGTAATGTTTTATTACCCACGAGTCCGTGTTCGGTATTGTGTAATGCTTTATTACCCATGAGTCCGTGTTTGGTGTTGTGTAATGCTTTATTACCCACGAGTCCGTGTTCGGTATTGTGTAATGCTTTAATACCCACGAGTCCGTGTTCGGTATTGTGTAATGCTTTATTACCCATGAGTCCGTGTTTTGCGTTGTGTAATGTTTTAGGTCCACGAGTCCGTGTTCGGTATTGTGTAATGCTTTAATACCCACGAGTCCGTGTTCGGTATTGTGTAATGCTTTATTACCCATGAGTCCGTGTTTTGCGTTGTGTAATGTTTTAGGTCCACGAGTCCTTGTTCGGTGTTGTGTATTGTTTTATTAACCACGAGTCCTTGTTAGGTGTTAAGTAATGTTATTTGAACCATGAGTCCAAAGTTGGTGTTGTGTAATGAGCGATTAAAATATATGCACTTATCCTTGACCTTGACATTACCCCAATATTTTTTGTGAAGTCTATTATTGAAGGCGGCTTGATTCCCCACAATGATTATAAGAAGGGACACAACCCATGTTAAAATGTATTATTTTCATATTTTCTGAAGTATTGTTTTATGATCAAAAACTCCACAGACACTAGTAAACTAAACAAAATTCTTTATCTATAAAAGATAAAAAAATCATATGGTGGGGAAAATATGTCATACAGCTGTGACTACCTGGTATATTTAAACAAAATCTGATCAATGTAATGGGAAGCACATTTTTTGCGTAATAACAAAGAATATCATGGATATTTGTCAGAAGAATGTTTTATCCACATGGTTACCTTTAGGTTCAACCCTTTTTTTCACCACAAGGGCTACATTCCTTAAAACAATTGACATCAAGTAAAAGTTACTTGTTTCTATTGACCCTGCCCCTTTACCATCAACTCCAGGTGGACACATCCAAAAGGTAACACAGATTACAAAGTAGCCATCAAGAAACTCTCTGATTGGTTTGTGCTTTTTTATTCAATCACTGCTTACTATTATTAGTATTATTATTAGTTTTATCATCTATTTCAGACGAAACCTACAGTACAAATGCCGAGGGAGAGTGTTTGACTTCCGTCCATGGCCTCTACCCCTATACATACATACAACGTCCAATGTCAGTCATCACCATGGATCCATCTATGGCTTTGCCTGGTTATATCAAGGTTGAGAGTCCTGACATGTACTCGTCAGATGTCTATAAGAACAGTTGTCAACAGACAGAGGAGTCATATAAGTTCCATCTTGATACAAAATATCAGCAGCTTGACCCATGGAAATCTTGTGTGTCTTCCTGACGTCAGGCCTTTTTAAAGATTGTGATGAATATTCCATATATATCTACAGATCAAATGTAGGAATGGCAAATCTGCAAAAGATGGTGCATACCCCGCTTATAATAGGTGTATCCAGTGTAACTACATCAGCTATTTTCTGGGTCGCAATTGTCAAATATTTGTTTGAATGATCAATGTGTGTACCAGGTAAAGAATAACTTTGCAGTTATAACATTATAGTGGAAATCCAGCAGTGTATTGGTAGCAGTGTCTCTGTGTGTGATGTAATGGCATGCCATTAATATCAATGCCATGGTGTTTCAAACTTTAACCTAACCCCTACATTAATAACATGTAACTTACCTTGTGATGGACGCCAATGTTACTAACCTTGTGATGGACGCCAGTGGTACTTACCTTGTGATAAATGCCAATGTTACTAACCTTGTGATGGATGCCCATGTTAATTACCTTGTGATGGAGGCCAGTGTTACTAACCTTGTGATGAATGCCCATGTTACTAACCTTGTAACAGATGCCAATATAATAACACAATATTTTTACATTGTTACCAAATGTAAGATGAAGGCGAAGTGGTACAAACCTGTTAGTGAACTCCTGCCTTACTCACCTGGCCCCAGTTCTGTGAACATCCCAGTCTTAAGAAGCTTGAGCCACTAGTACCTTGAATGTGTGTAGTATACAATCTAATGAACAATATCTTCATCAATGTGCTGTTATAATTTTGTACACCAATAAAAGTTTCCAAAACACTTTCTTTCAAGATTTTTGTACACATGTCACGTTAGTGAACTTAATCTATTTTGTGTGTGTGTATATATATATATGCCACCATACTTTGACATTGTCATGTCTCTCTGTGTGGTTGATATTACAGTATATATAAATACATGTATTACTAATTATTAATGGATGCTCATTAGTATGTCAAGTAGTTTCCCAAACATAAAATTTGATTTCGTGCATTGAAGCACTTACACTTGCTGGCCAGCTAGTTTTCTTCAATCATACTCAAAACTGAACTGGCACAAATAGGGATCGAGGGGAGCCTACAAATCAAATTTCAGAAAATTGAACGAGCACGATAGGGGACAAGCAAATTTAAGGAGTATGTTTTCATTACTTTTCAAGAAATCTTTAACTGTCAAAATCCAAGAACAAATGAACTTGAATTTTTGTCATTCTAATAGAAATAATTGCCATTTCATTCATAAATATAATAGTACTTGCAATATACTTCATTTGTACATCGCATGTAAAAAATGTATAAACAGATGGTGTTTAACAAACATCAATAAATCCGAGTTAGATCTTTTTTTGCCCATCATTATTTGATTTTCATTAATTCTTTAAAATTTGTATATTTTCCATTTTCTCTTTTTTTCTTAACTCTTATTTGCTCTTAATTATAACAGGAAAAAGACATAGCCTTAAAAGAGAGTAGCATTTGTTAACTTGTTTGTGTATGATTACTGTACAGGCTGGAACAATGCATAGACAAAGCAAAAAAAAGATGGGACTCTTTCCATGTTAATATAAATTGAATTTTATATATGGAATTTTTATCTGTATTACGGTGTTCATCATTATCTCACAGGATAGAACAACCTTTTGTTGATACATGTAATTATTCACTCAATACCAAAGTACTACATTCCCTTATATGAGTATACTACAAACGTTATTGTGAGACCTATATCTCACTTTTATTTGATTATGTTGAGATATGACTACATTCAGTGATACAAGAATGTAATTTGTATTCATTTAACAAACAATTTATATTTGTGCATTGAACAGAGTATACTTTGCAAGTGGTAAGCTGATCAGGATCTCTTTACTTTTCTTACTCCAGCTGGAGTAGGACAAGATATACAGTTCTTCTTTTTGGTTTCTGACTTACTGACTTTCCTTATAAATACCAAACTATATTTCTCTGCCAGGGCTGCACTTCAGAGTACATAAGGGAGCTAACTGAGGAGGGAACCAGTCTACAGAAAATAAAGAACACATAGGAAGGGAGGTAACTCAGTCAAGTCCTTCTCACTAAATAGCAATAACAGACTTTCATAGTCAAAATTCATAATCATCTGTCAGCCATTTTGTTTTCTACCAGGCCCTGAAAATCAAAAGGGCACACCTGAGACTAGGGACCCTGGGAAACTTGCAGATGTAATTTGAAAAAATCCATCAACTCCGTCGATAGCAACAAACAAACTTTTCATGTCAAAATCTAAGATGGTTGCCTGTCAGCTTGTTAAATGTCTGAAAATCAAAAGTGCAGAACTAGAGATCAAGGAAAGCCTACATATGAAATATGAGACAGAACCATCTAGTAAGTACTTTTCAATAAATGGTGATAACAAACTTTCATTGTCAAAACCAAGATGGCTACCTGGCAGCAATTTCTTCTGATCATTTCTACAACAAATGAGCACAACCAGGGATCAAATGGGAACATACATCAGATATGAAAATGGAAATCTGAACAAAGGCTGAATTATATCTGTTTACTAAGTATTTAATGGAAACTATATGGAATTATATATTTTCTGAGAAGGCTGGAATCAGACAATTGGCTGGAGATTTTTATTTCTACTGCTTATGAAATCTGAGAAAGATTTATTCTGTCCTCAAGAAATAGCGATGATAATCTTACATAGTAAAAATCATTTTGATTTTTTAATCATTCCTAAAATCAAAAGGGCAAAACCAAGGACTAAGGGGAAAACTGAGAAAGATCCATCAAACATTTCTCAGAAATGAAGATAACAATGCAAGAATAGTTCAAGGACATACCACAAATACTAGGCCATTTAAACAGCCCACCACCTAATCATGATGGACTAAAAACTGTTTGCATATATATTCACAATACAAAATTCTAATACAATGTAATCCTAACAGAAATTTATCACAAAACAGATTTTGTCATCATACATCTACATTCATCATATCATCGGTCAAAACCAAACAGTGAAATTCTACAACCTTCATGCTGTGTAAAAATAGCTTTTCATTTGTTTTTATATTGGACTTAAGGTCAAAGTTCACAACACCACTAAAACTTCGTTCATTTTGAAATGCATACAATATAGACTGTGTACTGGCTACCACCAATTTGCAGTCCTGTTTCACCATACCTACATCACATTTGATCAAGTCCAAGTCGGCAGTAACTGAGATAGAACCTAAAACTTCAAATTTTGTAAGTGATAATGGGTCAAACTTGATTAAGAGAAGTGAATTGGTGTTTTCTTTATGAACGATGTGCACAGTACCCTCAGCATGACAGCTGATGGCACATCCCCCACTGATCACTCCTCTGACAAGATCAGAGCAACATATAACTGAACAGGACTTGGTTGTAGTATCTATACACTGCACAATGTTTTCACCAATTGTCGTTTCGCTATCTCCCAAAGTTGAAGTACCACCAAAAATGTATATCTTGTCACCAAGACAGCCCTTCACAAATTTAGAGACAGGAATCTGCAGATGACAGAATGGTTTGGAGTCCCAATGATTGTTTGTAACATTGTACATGTAGACAGCAGACAACAATACACCTTCACCTACTTCCTCTCCACCAAACAGGTAGACTCTGTCTCTGATGGCAACAATGTGGGCACCAACTCTGTAGGGTCCAGGACATGGCTGCAAGCACTGCCACTTGTCAGTAATGGCGGAGTAGTAGAAGAAGGCATTGGCTTGTTGGCGATACCCACACAGATAAACACAACTCTCTGCATATGTGCAGGTGGTATAGCCCCCAGGTCTGAAACTGTAAGGAAGCACTGTCAATATTCCATCAGGTTCAAATGAGATGGAAGGGTTACGGATAAAGGAGATTGATGGGTAACAGATGTCATTCTCATTGGATGGGTGGGTTTCTTTCTCCTCATTTATCAGTACAAGGACTTTCTCTTTGCCACTGTGTGGCCTGTACTGGCTTTGTACAGTGGTGAAGCACATCTGTCCTCCATAGTCCTGTTGGTACTGTTCTGCCAATTTCAAATTATCAACTACTGACTGTTCCACATCCTCTCCTGAGATACTTTTGAGGAGTTGGAGACTATTCCTGTGACACAATGGTAGGCGAACTGCCTTTATCAGTCTGGAGAGATCCCCTCTCCTTACCTCTCTGTCATGGTTTACCCATGTGAGGACAGCTTGGAGAATTGTGTCTTCATTCTTCACCATTAACCCTTTATCATTAAGTATGGTTAAAAGATCTTCAGAAGTAATATTCTCTTCAAATCCTGGTGTCTTGAACACTTCTTCAAAGTGTGTTGAAATGAAGTCAATCAACAAATCTTTCAACACTTTGCAGTCATGGTGGGTGTCCATCAAACACCACAACTCCATAAAGTTGTCCATATCTATGTATTTTTCCAGGTTGTTATGGCAACATATCCAGTTCAAGAAACCATCCATTTGGAGGAAGGTAGCTGTCCACAGCACTTTGACAATATTGTCTTTGCTCATGTCAATGATACCAGTGTACATGTACTGAATCAGCAGTTTCAGAGGACATGCTTCCACCATTCTCAGCTCAACCACTTCCTCTTGACACTCTAGCATTCCTGACTGGAACATACATCCAAAATAGGATGAAAACACACACAAAATGTTCTTGTGGCATTCAAATTTCTGATCTCCAGCTTTCAAAATCACATCTGAATATAGTTTCTCTTGCAACAATCTTTTTAACCCAGTTCTAACTTGAAAACCCCAGTGGCTCTTTTCAGTATCTTTATTATGTTCCATTATCTGCTCCAGACTTCACTATCATGCACGTTCTAGTATGTCCTTGCAAGTCCAGCTAAAACAAATTGTAACAAAGATCAGCACTACGAAAAATACTTTTTAGAGAAAGAAAATTCTACTAAACACTTGAAGTCAGCCATTTGTTGCAACTATAACAGTTAATAATCAAGAGGTCTAATGGGCCTGCCCTGCTCATACAATCAATGTTCATCACAAATACATCAACATACATGTATACACCATAGGTATTCAAAGTGGGTCTATCCATTCAATTGGTTGCTTCAAACACTCAGCTCTAAATGGTGGCCATTCTTTATTTTATAATCAATTTAGCAAGGATTCTTTTAAGGAACCTATCAGCCAAATACTATATTTCTTGGTATTTGAGTTTGTCATCATAGTTGTTAGGAGGTTTTAACAAATTCAACCCTGGCGATCTTGAATAAGGGTCAAAGTCATGCCTATTTGCAAACTTTGTCGAGATCCATTCTAAGAACCTATCGGCCAAATACCATGCTTCTGGGACTTTTGATTGATAAGAAGAATTTGTTTTAAGGTTTAAACAAATTTGACTCCAGTGACCTAGAATATGGATCAAAGTCATTTCTTTTTTGCAAACTGTGTCAAGATTTGTACAAAAAACCTATAACAGAAATACATGTATCATACTTTTAGACCTTTCAGTTGGTTCAAAGAAGATGTTTAAAAGCTTAAACAAATTTGACCCCCATGATTTTGAATGGGGCAAGCTAATTTCTTTTCACAAACATCGTCAGGCTTCATCCAAAATACTTACCAGCCAAATATCATGTTTCTGTACATTTTAGTCGGTCAGAAAAAGTTGCTAAAATCTTTTAACAAATTTGACCCTTGTGACCCTGAATATGGGTCAAGATCATTTCTTTTTTAACTCTTTGTTGGGCTTTATCCCAGCAACCTACCAGTCTAATATCATCACATTTGGCTTGCTGCCTGATTATTGAGAAGAAATTGTTTCAATTGAAAAGTTGGTGCAGGACGGACAGACAGACAGATGACACTCCACTGATTAAATTCACATAGCCCTTTGGGCCAGGTGAGCTAAAGATGCATGGCTTCATCCATGAATGGTCACAACTGACTCTTGAACGTTACACACATCCCCCTCCTAAAAAAGTGATTGATTATAAAGACTGTACAAAAGACACTTATAAATAACATCATTTCATACAAATTTGGATAAGACTGAGCAGGGCCAAACAACGAATTAAATTTCATCATACAGCTGTTTCATCCTTCTAAGACTCGACAGTGATGCAAAGAGCCTAAATGTTAAACCTAGGAGACAACTGAAGAAACTCTAAAGTGATTACAATAAATATCATAATTTTGATGTGAAAGTGTGCTAGCCCATCATTCAGAAAATTTTGTGGCTTTCATGTCTCTGATAATTTTGAAGAATGTCAATTATATGTGTACATATTTTCTGAACCATGCTGCTATAAAAAAGCAAATGGCTATCAGGTTATGAAAATCCTATGGGACTAATAGTCCACCAGCAGTGTCTACCACAGGCAATCTTGAAGATTGTACAAAGTACCATTTAACATAAATTTGGATAAGATAAAGTTAAGGCAAACAAATTAAATGCAAATTGAATAATTATGTCTAATCAGCACAATAGAATTCCGATGTAAGTATGATTTTGCATAACAATATATCTATATTGGTATCATAATCTACCAGATTATAAAATATAAAACTGCACTAAATACTTAAAACATTATTCCAATTGCAGACGTTCAGGTAATTCCAAACGTCATGTGAATGACGTCAATGACAATACAGTATCTGCTACTAACCCCCAGTACATGTATACTGCAATGTCAAAGTTGAAGATCGAACTACAGTTTAGCTACATTTGTACTTGGAGACATCAAGTGGACACCGAGAGGGATATGGAAAATGCTTCCTTTCTAATTTGTGTACATGTAGTTTGATCTATCCGTAGACATATAAAGCAGTACAAAAGTCTAACACATTGTTTGATATGCAAAAGTAAAATGTATATAAGAAGTATATTTTTTTACGTTTAGTCTTACTTTGTTAGAGGTAAGGTACTGTCTCTTACATCAAGGAAGAGGTAAATAACTTATACTCTATTAGTTTACACGTTTCAGTCATATCTGGAACTGTGTGAAATTCGATTCATTATTCAATCAATTTCAGTTTTTCTTATTGTTTTACTGTTTATGTAATTTATCCAAACTTTGATGATAACAAAGGCATTAAAATACTTGATTATAACTTAAAGTTACAATAAATTGTCACAGTCTACTACTGCGCAAAATACGACTTCATCCGTCAGGATCATTACGGTGCATTCGATGTTCACTGTTCTGCCCACATGAAATAAATCCTCAATCGCAATTGAGATATATGAAAGATGAGGTTCACTTTTTCACTGCTGTTAGAAAATGCGAAAAATATAAATAGATTGATTAAATCCCATAAATTGCTGATGTTCATTTTGCGAACATTTATTAATTAATCGATTTAACGAATTGAACGGATAAAACGAATGCGACCATCGCAGCAGACGATCTATAGTTTCGTAGTTTTTATTCAGTCGGTTTATATTAAGTATTCTATTAGTATGTAAGTTCAAAATATAAAGCAATTATGATGGAATCACCTTAAATTTAAGAATTTTCCATTTCCCATAAATATGGAATAAACAATAGTGTGACGTCAAAATACGTAACTATCGTAAGTAGAAATTATAGGGAATCGCCATGTTCTTCCCGAAGACCACACTGATGATTGACAGGGAAAAGTAGTTTATTCGGCGATTGTATGGTGTCATTACGATAAATGACTTAAACAACATTTCTCACAGGTAATGTAGACAATCAGGCTGTCATGTGCGCAATTTAGCATTCTGAATTACCGTTTAATCATTGGATTTTTGCTTGAACACGAGTGGTATACTGTACAGTATAGGTCTTGTTATCTATATCGGGCACAGAGTCTGCAAATAACATGAAGAATGATTCAGATAGGAAGGTGTAGATGAGTCAAGGATTTGGTTTTACATCGTGATTTTGCATTCCATTCAAAAAGAACCTTTATACGTGCACTATTTCGTTGAGAACAGGTATCTCTTTTTTTGTTTAGATTGTTCCGCCTGACTGAACTCATGTTTAGGAAGCAGGATTATTGAAGTGTAATTAAATAGAAATCATATCGTGTTTTCTTCATTCTCCTATATACCGATCTTTCTATATTCCCAAATGCTCAATGATAAGTGTGAGGACATTCTAAAGTATGTAGTTCATTTATGAAGTATAAGCTATTTAATAGCGATATACGTCCATCAATTTTGACATACTAGGGTAGTGTGTACACGCCTTAGATGTATGGAGTGAAAGTATGACACATGAAATTGAAAGAAATACACAACTTTTTAAAACAATTTTTGGCCTCTACAATTATTCATCAGTAGACATTTTTTAACATCAAATATACACTGATTAATTAAACTACAGCAATAGATACATTAAGTTGACACCAGAAATGTATGTACACTTGTCTTCTTTCTGAAGGAATGTATACAAGGTTTTGATAACTTGCATTACTTCTGAATACAAATATCTGTTGAAACCTACACCATATCACTGAGTATATGATTTGTTATTTTCAATTAGATTTCAACTAGTGTGTATTCAATTCAAGTTGCCATTTAATTTTGACACTTATGATTCAGTTTGGAATTATAACTCTAGGTAAGTAGTTTGAAGTAAATCTCATGTTTAATTTGCTACATGTGTATTAAAGTATGTGTGATTGTCTAGGTTAATGTGTGAGTTTTTAGAACATATCTACATAAACATGCAACATAAAACTTTTCTGCTTTTTATCATTATTCCTTATTCAGTGATATTGTGTTATTACTGTGTTCATCATGATATTTTTACACCGCCCAGTTTCTCCAAATACTTGTGCCGACCTGGAAATGACTAAACAATGCATTACCATAGCTTTGGAAAATGTTCACTTTTCTAATTAAAGCAGAAACATAACCTTTGTTGTACTTGCATTTACATATGAAAAACTTCCATTATTAGAAAAATTGATTTGAATAACAGCAATAAAGAAATTTAGATTTAATAACCAGAATTTTGCTTTTGAATAAATATCCTACCTCAGTCGTAGAAGAAATTATATATATACACGATTAAAAAATGTAAATACCATCCAAGTCTAAGGGTTTCTGAACCCTTTGTGAGAGTAAGCTGATGATCAGACTTCAGATCAAAAGCTCAATGCGACCAATGAATTCGTAATCCAATAGAGTAAATATAGATATTTCCAAAGCTGTTTTGTTTATGATCAAATAACTAATAAGAAAATATAAATAAGATAACAATACATTGCTATTCAGGTATCAAACTTTATGGCAATTTGATCATCCTTTTCTGTCTGATTTTTCAAATAAAGCATTTTATGTTAAGTATAACTTTCAGCATTAATTAATGAATATAAAAACATTTTTCTTTTATTTACTTACAGCACAGGTTTAACTTGACAAAACAGACTAAATGAGAGTGCTCGAGACTGAAGCGACACAGTCGTACAACATGGGAAAGAACCGCAAACATAAGATGCGAAAGGCAAAGGAAGCCTCAGAGTCTTCAGATGATGGATGTGCATCAGGTATCCATACAAAAACCTTCACCTTTCTATTTCCTTTATGTGACTTTGGTTTGACCATAAAAGTACATATTAACTTCATTCGCACAAATGGATGTAAACATTTGGAGTTACATGTACATGTTACCTACCTGGTAATTGTTTGTGTCACTATATCCTTGACAAAGGTATGCTTGGCACTGTTGTAAAGTATTAACCTTTAGGTTGAATTTAGAAAATCAGACTAATACATTACATGTACAAGTTTCACTGTCGAGTCCTAGAAGGACAAAACAACTGTAAGATACAATTTAATTCATTTTTTGGCTCTACTGTATCTAACACTATATTTGTATCAAATGGTGCTATACAAGTATGTGTCTTTTGTACAATTACAAGAATCACCCAGTTTGGATAGCCTCATAATTGATATTTTCACTAACAATGTTGTATGTAAAAACCAAATGTGTTGTTTTTTTTGCAGTACCAGTTTGTAATCACATTAATATGGCCGTCAACTTTGCTGCCATGAAGAAAGGATTGACCAAACAAGTGTTTGGGGAGTGTGCTGTAAGTTTTGGTAACAAGCAACTATAATGTTGCAAAACCTCATCGTAATGTGCAGAATTATGTATGTTATTATAGAAATCTATTATTGATTAGTACAGACTAAAGTCTGTTTACAAATTGTTTTCAAACAGCTAAAAATATTTCAAGTGTGTGGTGGACTACAAGAACACAAAATGTTCTAACAGGATAGTGCTTGCTTGTTAAAGGTGGTTTTTATATGGGACGAGCTAGGTTTTCTGAAAAGTAAAATAAGGTTGCCATGACGTAATCTAGTTCTGATTAGGATCTGTAATATTATAGAGTTGTGCAAGTTTTTGAGGCCTACTTCATGATTCCTAAAAGATTTTTGTGGAAGTTCTGTCTTGAATATAAGGTACTTCTTCACATATTCAAGTATCATCACATCTATCAATTGAAGAGAATGGTAAAACACTGTACAGATACATGCATGTTGAATAAAAAAAAATGTGCAGATTTATCTTGTCTTCCTAACATTAAGAGAGGTCTGATCAGTTGTTGATTTTGTGCATTCATATCTTTGATAGTCGTGTTCCAAGGAAAGCTCATCTGGACGTAAACCAGCACAAGGGGAGACTTTGGACCAGGCTGGTGCATCTCATCAGGAAGAAAGTTTGATTAGTGACCTAGAGCCTACACTATGGGTGTGTCTCCAGTGTGGTCACCAGGTATAAAACACTTTCGTGTCATTGGTAGCTTTTTTAGTTGTTAAGTGCTGTAAAGTATATAATATTTACGATTTAGTGTAGTTTTAGTTTAATTGCTTAGACATTGGAAAAAACAAATCAAACCAATGGTAAATTGACCCTGTGGAAACAAAGCACTATAAAACCCATGTATTGTTTACACCTACTTTATATGCACAGGTACATTTTGGGGTTGAAAATTCGCCTCTACTTGTATAGTTAGTGCATCCAAAAGCTTCAGTCATGAACTATCTTCCAGAGCAAAGAAATCAATCCATCAGACATGTTACTCAATGACTACTCACCTATTCAGTTAACCTACTATATTTATTTATCTTGTATACAGAAACATTTGACTTCACACTAATAAACAGTGGTCAGTATTGTAATCTCAGGTACAAGTATACTGTAATTATTTTCCTGATAAATCAGGTAATTTGGATCCATGCATGTCAAATTTTCACTTATGTCTTGCTGTCACATTGTGTGCATGCTAGCTGACACAAATTGAGGCCTCAACTCTGTATTTGCAAGCGATTGGTATATGGAGCTGGGAATGTGTATTCCCCAAGAGTAACAGTGTTTCATGATACATTTTTGAAGATAATGGCTGCAGGGCTATCCCTTTTTATTGTGATGAATTAGTAGTGTAAGACTCATAGAGATGCTTCCTAAACACTAATGAGACCAATATTAAAAGGTAGTGAATCTGTAGTCATCAGTCTCCATCCACATCATATATTAATATGCTGATGCTAACTTCTGCAAATACACAAATGGACATGTGCTGATTGCTTCTTTGTCACGATATCCAACATTAAGGGAAATAAAATGAAATCTGTCATTTCCTAGAAGTCGAACATGAAAGTGTTTCTATATTATAACTGACATTATCCCGAAAAGGCCACTCTCTTTACCGATAAGTATATAATTCATTATGAATCGTTGACCACAAAATTTTCATCTAAATACTAAAATTATGGATGAGTTTGTTTACTGTATAAATTTGTTTACTATATAAATACATGTCATTGTTTTACACCTCATTAAGAATGATCTGTATTTATGTTGTCTTACTAGAATTAGCTATTGATGATGTCATAATTCCTGCCATCCTTCATGATGTCACTATGTAGAATGATAGCATGAACATTATTTAGTAAACAACCACATCCATTTTTTTTTTACTAACATTAGCTGAAAAAATTTGTAGTCAATCTGTCCTGATGAAGCCCAATGTTCGAGGGAAACCGGTAGACCACACCAATAAACACAAGAAAACCAGTCCCTAGCTTATTGTACCCCTTTTTAGATTTACTTTTACTCTCTGATTGCCGTGAATGTTTTTTTTTCGTATCCAAACTAAGGACATTAAGACTAACCTATCCTCCACTTTTCACCTCAGCGTGGGCTCTACCCTTGGTCTTCATTTATTAGACTGTACTTTTGATGTAAAACAACTATTACATCAAAGCATAAATATTGAAATATGTCTTTTCTTTTTTCTTGGCCATTCTTTATACTTTAATCCCCATGCTTTCCTAGACAGTCCAAGACCACCATTCACAAAATCGGAATACTCGGGCTTGATTGTTATCATGATACCTTACCGCAGATATTGTTGGATACCTAACTAAGACTGCCACTAGTCCAGCATTTTCAGCAAGAAAAGTATAGTAAGACATTCAGTAGTCAGTTGGGCTTCCAAAATTTCAATTTACTAGCCCATAGGAGATTCTATCTTCTTGAACTGTTGTGCCAACCTTATGTTCAAGCCCTGAATTTAGTGATGGGTACAGCATAGGTAAAGGAAAATTATAACTTTCAAAAAATTGTCAGAAATTGATAGCAAATTAAGTATATTTGTATACTTGTATTACAGGGATGTGACCGGAATTCCAGGGAAAAGCATGGCCTAAAGCATTACGAGACGCCACGTTCCAGTTGCCACTGTCTGGTTATCAACTCCTCCACCTGGACATGCTGGTAAAAATGGACACAATACTTTTTACAAATTTTCTTGATCTAGACTTGCCAAAAAATGTCTGTTACTGATCTTGTCCTTCCTGCAAACATGTTTTCCTGAATTTGTGATATACAGTAAAATACGGATAAGTTGAAGTTGACAGGACCAAATGCAATATTCAACTTATTCATTGGTTTGACTTGGCCATGTTTCTATGAGCGGAGACATTGTGCATTGAGGATTGGCCTTATTTTCATCACTTCACCAGATATGTGCCTTAATGCATGGCGTGACAGTAATGAATAAGTAATAAGTAAATAGAAACATTTCATATTTTGATACACTAAGGATTTCTTTTATTTGAATGAACAGTTATAAGTATAAATATAAACAAAGAGTGCAATATGAAACACTCGTCATTGCAGACATGCATATGCACCCACTCTCATACACATAACTTTGTGAACTTGATACCTTAAGTAATACAAGTAGTGTACTCATATTTATATCCTTAAGATTGACAAGCCCCATCAACAATATTTTAAAATAAAACTCAATAGATACATACTAGCATCGATAGCACTGAGTTGTGTTATCAAAAGGTGAAGGCTGCAACAATGTCAATGAAGCATAACTGTACATGAACCACACTGTAAATGGAATTAAATAAAACTTGCAGTTTATGTATATACATGTATATCCAGTAAATGTATCTAATCATAATCTAATCTGTCAATGACAGTAAACTAAAGGGATATTCCGGCATCTGTCATTGGTTGTCTGTCATCTTTTACTACATATTGCAACTATTCATGATTGACTGAGCTGATTTTAATCAAATCTGGTCTGAAGCATCCTTGGGGAAAAGAAAAACAACTTTTTGGAATTGGTGGGTCTGAACCTCCTCCATCACACTATCCCTAAAAATCACAATAACTGACTCAGTCATCCCTAAGATTACCAAAGCTGACTCAGCTATCCCAAAAGTTTACCATTCCTAAGTCGGCCATCCCTAAAGTAAAGATCACTTTTCCTGGCTCAGCCATTTCTTAACATTACCATTTTTGACTTGGACATCCTTGAAGATCACACATTCTGACTCGGCCATCCCTAAAGATCACCATTCCTAACACTGCCATCCCTAAAGATCACCATTCCTAACACTGCCATCCCTAAAGATCACCATTCCTAACACTGCCATCCCTAAAGATCACCATTCCTAACACTGCCATCCCTAAAGACGACCATTCCTAACACTGCCATCCCTAAAGATCACCATTCCTAACACTGCCATCCCTAAAGATCACCATTCCTAACACTGCCATCACTAAAGATCACCATTTCTGTCTCGGTCATCCCTGAAAATCACCATTTCTGACTTAGCCGTCCCGAAAGATTTCTGTTCCTCATTTATCTGTATACCTACAAAAGTTAGTGTGTAGACTGAAGTAATTTATTTTATGCTGAAAAGCAGATTCTGCTCAGGTCAGTGTCTTCAGGCCAGTGGTCTAATACAAAACTGTAATTTGTTGGATGTAATCAGCACAAATCGGATGTGGTTTTCTTATGTTCTTGTCTCTGCTTCAGGTGTTACAAATGTGATGATGATATTCCACTGGAGCGCAGTAAAAGGCTACAAGAATGTATGGAGTTTTTGAGAAAACAGGCAGGACTGCCTCAGCCTGAATTAGGTGAGAAAGTAGTTTTCAAAAATTGTATACTGTTCACTTATCACATCTCTCAACAACTTTTATTCGACGAATGAATGCCCAGCTAAGGTGTTCATAAAGTTTTGGAGTAAGTTCACACTATCATCAGTTACATTTGGATAAACACATGAGGTCTTATTAGTTGTATATTGCTTGTATACAGGATATATGTCATGAATCTTCCAACTAATGTAATGTATATTTTGAAAATAATATGGTAACATCAAGTTCTACTCATTTGGTTGTCAGTCAAGGTTAGGGGATCAAATGTTTAACTTCACCTTTTGATATATAATTTCTAACTTTTCACGTATAGTATTGTTGTATCAAATTATAATCCTGATTAAATTTAATGGTTATTGGTCAAATCAATTAAAGGGTCAAAGGTCATACTTATTTATGTTATTTGTAGGCTTTTTCTGCCATTTCAGTATCTTCAGACCAGTGAGTAATGACTTGAAAACACTTTTTCGAAAAACATAATTAATAATATTGATTTGTACTTTTGTAGGTGGTTTCAGAAATCAATGTTTATGCTGTTTATTTTTCGTAACAGTCAAGACAATATTTATTAATTTTTGTCTTTTGTTTAACAAAGTTAAGCGTGTGACTCATGAGGCATCTGCTGCTGTGGATGGAGCAGAACAAGTTGTAAAAGATTCCAATGCTCGACCTCTTACACCAAAGACCTCAACACCTGGACTGTGTAATAAAATCAAGGTATTAAGCAACTGATCTTGAATGAAATACAATTTTTTTTATCCCACTATATTATGTTTGATTATTATCTCTGATTCTCTATTTTACAAAGAACATATTTCTTATCACATTGACCTGTGTTTGTCATGGCAGCTGCCAGGATAGCTTTGTTAAATTGGAAAAGATAATTATTTTTCCTTTATTTGTTACAATTCACACAATTAGTTTTCTCCTCTATGTTATTCATTTTTTTGGTCTTTCGTTATGCATATTTTTCTTTAAGACTGATAAAAAGACCAATATCACAACCAAACAATACATCATTGTTTTGCTAGTTGAACATTTTAATAACCATACTGTTTGGTAGAATCTCTTCTCTTTGTTTTATACAATGTTTAATTGTGAACCTCATGATGACTTGTTTGTCACAAGGTGGCCATTTTGGACTTTGACGAAGTTTCTTATATAATGTGTTTAAGCATCACTAAGCAAAGGTTGATGTAAGTCATACAGTTAAAAAGAATTTCTTTTGCAGCTGTTTGTCATTTTGCATGTACATGCTTGGTCAACAACTATTAAGACATTTTGTGCTTAATTATTGTTTGTAGTTAAGAAGTTTCCTTTCACTGATTAGCTATCCTTGACTCTGTTTTAATTTTGTTTTATTTAGGGCCTGAGTAACCTTGGAAACACTTGTTTCTTCAATGCTGTCTTACAGGTAGGTAGATTTACATATCTATAAAAGAGTAATCAGCACCACAGACTAACTTTTGTGTGTGTATTTTCCCTGGATGTAACCTTTCCAATGCATCTTTAAACACATTTCAAATGCTTGGTCTGTTGTTCAGATATCAGTAATTTAAAAAGTGGTATCCAATCCATTAGATTGAAAGCCTCTATAATTTCAATGACCATCATCCTTAAAACAGTCTTCTCAATAGATTATATACTGCTCGTTAATGTTGTTTTATTTTGATGTCAGCATAAGAGTTTTTGAGTGGACTGACCCACATGGAAATAAGTTCTGAAAGTGGTATCAGATGTGTCTATTATGCTGTAGAACTATGAGAACTGTATTAGGATTACTGGTTTTGATATAGGAACAAATTTTAGTTTTAGTCTCAACTCCATTTTACTGTTTAAGTGTTATAAGTCCAATCATTGAAGTTGATGTTAGAAGTTTGCAGAGACATTGCTCTTTACCAGTAATTACATTTGTGATGTTTTACTAGATACTTCACAATTATTTTTGTTTGTTTCTGAGGTAGTTGGTCAAAGAAATTACCAAATAACCATTGTATTTTGTGTTTATACTTCTTTCATAGATATCTTTTCTATTGGTTTAGAATATGACTCAAACTCACTGTTTTGAGAGTTGTCTGTTGGAGCGTGGAAAGAAAGGGAGGTCAATGTCAATCTCTGGCAAGAGTGACACTGACGACAGTTCCACGGGAGAAGAAAGTGATGGAGAACCCCCACCATTGAAGGAATTACCACGCATCGCTGTGTCTCTGGGAGAGGCTGGGCCACTTACTCAATCACTCATACACTTCCTTCTGGAAATGAACAATAACACCTCGAACCGCAGCTCCACGGTCAACCCTAATGCTCTCTTCAGTCAAGTCTGCAAAAAGTGAGCCATAATTTTCATTTATTGAATCAAAGAAGCTGTATGTTTGCTATTCTATTTCTATGCAAAACTTCAAATAACAAGTTTTTCTTTTCTCATCTTACTGATGAGGAATTTTAATGAGGTTTCGTAGGATGTGAAATGACTAGTAATGGTTACTCTATTACAGAGCCCAGAGATTCCGAGGCTACCAGCAGCAAGACAGCCATGAATTATTGCGTTATTTACTAGACAGCATGAAAATGGAAGAAGTGAAGGTGAGTGCAAATTGAGATGGTAAACACAAAAAGTTGTGAGAGAGAGTTTTAATCAGGCCTATTTTGTCTTCACAAGATTGTTTATTAGTTCATAATTATTACCTTTCCACATGTACATCACATTTCTGGAGCATAGATGGGCAATTTAAGATAATTGTTGTCCATTTTACATCTGTCCTTCCTGTCACTATTTTTTTTTTAATTCTCCTTGGAAATTTTAGGGGGAGCATATAGTTGCTGCTTTGTCTGCCCATCCATCTTGCCATCTATCCATTCGTGTACAGACATAACTTTGCTCACAGTTAAGCCAGGGTCGTGAAACTTGATGTAGATATTGGTTATGCGAAAGAAATGTGCGTTCAGAGGAGGCAACCTCTCAGTTAAAAGTTATTGCCCTTCATTAAAATTTTGTGTCCAATGTATAAGTTTCCTTATCTTTAAACTAGGATAATGAAACTTGGTGTATACATGGGCCATACTTAAGAGGATGTGCAGTGTACTGAAACCACTCAACAGAATTATTGCCCTTTGTTAAAATTTTGTGTTGCTTTTGAAACTGATACAAGAAATTGAATGGCCAAAAGAGTATTTAAAACTTTGACCTTTTGTGAAATTCTCTGAAAACATGTTATGGTTATTGTTGAATTTTTTATGTAAGTTCCCCTTGGTTCCTAGTTGTACTAGTAAAAGAAATGGACCTTAGGTTGGATTTCAAATTTGAACAAATACATATGTTGGAAGTTATTTGTCAGAAAATGCCAATCAGTCTTTTCAAATAAAATTTTGTGTATCCTCTTTTTTGTCTCTAATTGTTCATGTTTGATGTGTAAACTTTACTTCAAAAGTGGATGTTTCCCACAGTGTTCAGAAAAATCCTGATGCGAACATACCAACAGCATTTGTAATCAAGAGTTTCTTTATTTTTTAGAGACGACAGGCTGCTATTTTAAAGTTTTTCAAATTGCCAGAAAATGTCAATCCAAAGAAAGTCGATGAGGAAACTCGATATAGAGTTCGAGGTAAGATTGTAAGAGGGGCAGAATAAAAAGAATGATTCAGAATAACGCTCACCAGAAAGAAAGAAAAATAAAGTTTAAAACAATTCACATTGAAAGATTAATATAATATACCGGAATTAATTTTCTGATTTTCTCTTTACAGAATATGGTCGCCAAGGCAAGCATACTTTTGTGGATGCAGTATTTGGAGGGAGCCTGATTAGCACTGTAATCTGTGAAGAATGTTCTTATGTAAGTATATGCAAAATATAATACTAAAAACAGGATTAAGTGGTTTTGGTGTCCCAAGGGCCATCTGCTTACATAACATTAAAACTGCAACTTATCTCATTGTTCCACAAAATCTTTTTAGATTTAGATTCCAAATCACAATCACTAATGTTTTCAAGCCTTGTGGCCATTTCAGGAAATTGCATTGCATTGGACAATAACATTACGTCATAATGTATGTTACTAAGGTTACTATGGTGTCAGTGCAATTGCCTGAAGATGGCTGCAATGCTTGAAAACTGTATTTATTACATAATTGATCATTTAATACCAATATTGATACTTTTATATACATAAGAATACAACACTAAATTTCAAACCTTACATAAGTTAATATGTTGCATATTCTGAAACTGATACATCATACATATATGTAGTGAATTACTCTACACTATCCATATCTTTTTAAATCACAATTCAGTTGTTTAATAATAATCAAATCTGTGAGACACAAGGCATTGCTAGGAAGATTTGATCAACCTAGCATAGATATATGTATATTAATGAATTTGGAACAATAAGTATAAGACATTAAATTGACTGGAATTGGCTGGTGTAATGGTGAATGCTCAGGTAACCTGTATATGGACACAAATATTGTTATTTCAAATACTTAAAAACCATGGAAATAGTAAATACACTGATTATTAAGTCAAGTTAATGTGCAAATTCGAGAGAAGGGAGTAAGAGAAATTTACAAATGAAAAAGAAAGATGAGACAACCTCCGTTTCTGTTACAGATTTCGCAGATCTTTGAGCCATTTCTGGACATTTCTCTGCCCATTACTGAAGAGAAGGTAGGCCCCTGTTTAAAACCTATATCAACACATCCCTGATGTCGGTTATTTAGCGGTTATTTACCGTTAAAATCATACTTCTAGGTACTTTCAGTACCCATCCCATAGTTAATTAGTGATGATTAATTGACATTGTTAATCAGCATTGTTGAGATGAAGATTCTAAATCATGACATACTCCCAAAGTTGTCAGTAACAGCATGTGATTGTCATGTGATTGTGTGAATATTTATTTCTTTTTTTGTATATTACACTATTATGTTAAGACCTAATCTACTGTTGCACATCTCAAGATTTAATTATAGTGTCATGATGGTGAAGATAGGTAAAGAGCCTCTTTGCTATCATGAAAGGACATAAGAAAGTGTGATTTATTTGATTTTCACTCGAGGCTTGCAAAAATGAAAAAAAAAATGAAATGATTTTTTTTTAAATCTGCTCATTTCATAACTGGAGGCTTGCAATAAAAAGGTTTGAGGGTGGGGGGAAATCTACCTGTTTCATAACTAAAGGCAAGAAAACGAAAAGGAAATAATGTAATTGTTTCGTAACTAGAGGCTTGCAAAAATGAAAGAAAAATAAACTTTAAAATAAAGGTTTACAAGATTTCAAATATATATAAATATGTCCTACAAAAGTGGTAATATGTGAGGAAGTATAATAGGAAAAGTCTCACGGTTATCTGTTTACTTACTCCAGCCTCAGAGACCAAACCAGGTGCCAAGTGGAAGGAAGAAAGAGGTAGCAGCTAGTACTGAGGTCCAGGAGGATTCCCCAGCGATTGGTGTAGATGGATTTGCCTTTAAGGGTGATAAGAACAGTAAACACATCAGCAAAAAGGAAAAACGTCAAGCAAAGAAGGATGCAAAGGTATATACAGTTATTTTATTGCTATGTGTTTCTATGGTAATAGTGCACTTTTATTTGTTTACCTTTAACATTGGTGTATTATGTAATGACTCTGTCATTCCATCCACCTTTCCTATTGTAGAACATTTTGATATTACTATAAATTCCCTGTATGTAATTCTGTCACAAACTTGAGAAACACAAATTGTGACAATAAAGTATAAAGTATAATGATATACAGAATATATATCTAAGTAGCATACTTCAACATGGTTGGACAGTGCATTTTGTTGGAGAAATGCCGATGAGATGACCTGTTACTGGCAATAGATTTAAATATTAGGAAATCGAAAGCCATATTGATTTTTTTTGGAGAGTTATGTCCCTTATCATTATGATGTTACAATCTGATAAAGATGGCCTTTGTGCCCACATAGTTTTGAAACTCTGGCATTTTATTTGCCTTTACTAAGGACATTTCTAGTGAAGGAAGAAAGCTTGTACCGGTAAATCAGTTTAGAGTTTTCTAGGTTATCAACATGGTTTGATTATGAGCACCAAAAATCCTAGAGGTTTAAGTTTTCATTTTATCTCTTAAATACCAAATAGTTTCATTTATGTGGTAAGTGAAAAATACAAATAATCATGTTTTTCAACAGGTGCAAAAATAAATTTGAAATGTTGTGAACTGTTCAACAGCTATCTTTTAGATATATTAGGTTACTAGGTGATTGGATTGTAATATTGAAGTTTATGTAGTTCAGTTATGTGCTTTAGATAATTGGAGGTTAAATTGCTACAAATGAAAATAAATGGCTGGATGAATTTTGCTGTTGAAATTCTCACCTGTATACATCTTGTTTTATGGTGATAGCGGCGTGCCAAAGTTTCCAAGAACCAAGTATTGCCTATGGCAGATGGCAGCACTCTTGTGGAGGAAGAAGATGGGGCTGGAGAGGAGGCAGAGCCTGAAGTTACAGAGACTGAACTACAGAAAGTTGGAGAAGGACAGAAAGAGCCAATAGATGAAGATGGAAATTCCAGTAATAGAGATGACCCATCTGGTAGGAGAACTCTGGAAAATGTGTTTTTGTTTGTTATGTGTACTTTGATTTTGATCATGGAGAAAATAGGGATACTTCCATTCACAATTATATGAAGAATATGATTGAACATTGGATGAAATTTGTTACACTATGTAAGTCATATTATATTAATGATATTACATTGTTACATGCAAGTACATGCCAGAACATACTGATATTGTGATCTGACATAGAACTTACAGATGCAGTAAGATATTGTTTGATTACATCTTAATTTTATTTGCTTGTGTGTTAGATGCTCACTTTGTCTATGGTATATTTTTTTGCAACAGATGCTGATGTGGAGGACAACTTGGAAAGTGATGTCAACCGGTTTGCCAGTCTGTCAGCCTCCTTTGGAGAGAAATGTGCAACAGAAGAGGAGCAGGGAGCCGTTGGTGGTGATGATGACACCTTCCAATCAGGCTGTGTGGTTGAGTCAATCATGCAGGAATCTGGAGGAGCTGGAAATTTGTCAGAGTCCAGTGGCACTTATAAAGGTTCACAGGGGGCAGAAAGCAGCACTGGAGCTGGCTCAATGAGTGGGAGCACAAGCACCATCAAACAAGGACAGGACAGCACAGAGGAAGGACTAGACCAGAATAAGGATAGCAAAAGTCGCATGTGTAATGGGGAGGAGATTGGACATGATAGAGGAAGTAATGGTCACATAGGTAAGGAGGAAGGCCAAGGACAGAGTGATAGTAAAGTTGACCCACAGAATGGACACTGTCAAACCTCAGACTTAAACTTGGATGTAAGCAGTATGGGGGAGAAGAAAATAAATACTAGTCTATGTAATGGTGAACTGGTAGATAAAAGTTGTAACAGTTGTGATGTTGAAATGGTACGGAAAAGTCTTTCAGATACGCACATCGTCAATGGGCATGTAAGTAGTTGTGACATGCCACAGTGTTCAGTGAATAAAGAGCAAACTGGTTTCTGTAACGGAGTCTCCGCTGACACTTCATTACTGACAGATAAACTAGATAAACTACAGTTACATGATGATCCTAGTGAGGAAACAAGAGACTCTTACAACAATACCTCAAGGAATGTGTGTGATCACCAATCCCTTCCAAAGTCACGTTCAGTGGAGTATTTAGGACCCAGTGTAGAAGGTGGGCGTAATTCGCCAAAGCCTTCAAATTCTTCAAGCATGCTTGATGGTGTGCACAAGAAGACTTGTCCTGGTCTGTGTCGACAGGCCTCTAAGCATTCCAAACGTAAAGAGGCAAAGGTAAAGTCAACTTTGACCCTAGGACAAAGATACCAACCGTCGTCACGTGAGTGTTCCATCATGTCATGTCTGCATCAGTTCACATCAGCAGAGCTTCTCACTGGTAACAACAAGTTTGGATGTGCCAACTGTACCAGGATAAAAAATAAACAGAACCCTAACAAAGGTCAGTTCATTAGGCTTCAGATGGGGAAAAGTCAGGGGAATGTTTAATTAATTTTAAAGAACTTGATGAAATAGTTAATGCAGTTTTAATCTTGACTTTAATCAAATCAAGATTCTATTTTTCTTTTATATGGGTATACAGAAAAGTACTCCAGCTTTTAATACAGAATTAGTGATATGTTCATGTTATATATGTATAATATATCATAGTATCATATTCATCAACAGATAAAAAAGATAAGCAGTACTCCATTGCCTCAAAGCAGTACCTGATATTTACACCGCCTCCGATTCTCACACTACATCTAAAACGGTTTGAGCAAGTAAGTATTTACTGAATACATGATTCACAAATCTTCCAGTTAGAATAAAGAGACCACCTGTGTTCAGTTGTTATGCTTACCACCTTTTACCTATATGTTTGTTTAGGTTAATTGAAATCCAAATTGATCTTTAAACCAGATTGAAGCAAGAAGTTTGTTACAGTTACGTTACATTTGTGTACAGAATGAAGCAGATTTTGTGATGTTATTATTCAAATGACTGATGATTATGAAATGATATACAAAAAAAACTTTCACTTTGGTTGTGAATTCTATTTCTCTCAGGTTGGCTACAGTTCCAGAAAAGTAAACCGTCATGTTGACTTCCCCTTTGTGTTGGACTTGGCACCTTACTGTAGTTCCCTATGTCAGGTAAGGGAATAATGACCGTGCATAAATGTAATAAATTTATAAGAGTAGCCTCCCTTGGAATGCTGCGCCTGGCTCAGTGGATGTGCTTGTTCATATTGAAGACCAGATGAGCCTGCATGATAACATTTATATTAGTATCAGAGACCATGTCTGCTGTACTCTAGATCTCATAACTTGCTTTGTATTACAGGGTATCAAGACTGGCCAGCAGAGGATCCTTTATGCCCTGTATGGTGTAGTAGAACACAGTGGCCGTCTCAATGCTGGTCATTACACTGCCTATGTTAAGGTGCGTCCCAATGTAGGCCTCAATAACACCTTCCTCCTGTCAGGATTCCCCAGTCGGCGTGAATACATCCAGCGCTACATGGAAAACCTGGCTAACAGTGTGCCCCCAGAGCGTGAGGAGTCTATTGATGTCCTGGAAGAAAAGCTTGTTCCCCCAGGGCGTTGGTACCACATTAGTGACAGTCGTGTTACAGAGGCTACAGAGTCTACTGTACAGCGTGCTCAGGCCTACCTTCTGTTTTATGAACGTATTTACTAGACACCTTAACATATTCACATCATAAGATTTAAGGAGCTCTCATAAGAAATAACCAAGTGAACATGACATCAAGTTGGCCATTGATAATCATTCCCTAAAACAGTTGTTTAAAAGTCTAGGATTTTCAATTTGATGTAGATATGTAATATTGTACTGCAGTTGTGTACAAAGTGTTGGTAATTGTGAACAGGCTAGCTTATGCTAAGTCATTGTGATAGTTTCCTTTTTATCCTCCACAGTAACTACAAAATAATTTTAATGATCTCATTCAGCTTTGCCTCACAACATGGTGATGTGCTGTCTTGTCACATGGAGTTGATGGCTAGAATTTATTTTTTTCTCACAAAATTTAACGGATAAAAATTACCTTTCTGTTTGAAATTTGGGAATTTGTCACGGGATGCACTTCCACAGATAATAACATCCTGCTATAAACTTTTCTTTTAAAACTACACAATTTTACAACTTTAGGACATGTCTTAAATCAAGTCTTATTGTTTCTTATTGTACAGTGCACATTATCAACTGCACTATAGTGACTGAACTGTGTGGTGTTACAAAAATTAAGTATACTGAGAACATGTCCTTTTAAAGACATGTTATGAAATTGCAAGGTTTTTTTTATACTAGCATGATTCATTTTTCTTTTACCGGCAAAAAGCTGCTATGCTAATGTTACATAATTATGAAAGTTTATGAAATTTCATTTTTATATGAAACTGTTATAAATATTCATTAGGATCACACCATTCATATTATTAAGTGTGAAGAAAAAACTTTCAAATCACCGTGCAACATATTTTTTGTCAGTGATAATCTCTTGCCAAATTTTATTTCTTTTTTATATTAATATATGTATATAGATATATAAATTTTCCAATTGCACATTCACTGAAGCAATAGATGTTTTTGTTATTAAATTAGTGTCACAGGAAAATATTGTTACCAGTGATTTGTTAATGGACTATTCTTTGAAGGTCCGAAGTTATTATTATGTGCTATAACTAATGTGATCACTCAGTTTTGAGTGCCAGAGGAATTTAATTAATATATGGCATCGTTTAAAGTATGAACATTCTATGGTGCCATTTTGAACTTGGAATTAAAAGTTTTTTATTTCTTTCTACCTGAATAGCTAAGTACCAATCATGAAAACAACAAAACATTTTCAACATTAACTTCATTGAAAATTGCCGCTGCATATATAATATTGTTAAAGCTCTAGCATCAGGTTGGATAGTTTTTACTTTACAGCTATTTAGATTTTCATTGTATGAGGTAAAATGTGGAATTAAAAAGCAGATTCTGATTGGTGATTATTTTTATTTATTTATCTTTGATTTTTTATATTTAGTAAGTGGTCATTCTACTCTATATTTTCATGATAAACTCTCATTGTCATTTCAGAAAATGATATTATTGATATTCAATACATACAAGATTCACAGTTATAGCTATAAAGGATTGTTAGTCAAAAACAACAGAGGAGTTGGAACACTTTCTCTGCTGGTTCTATTTTATACTGACTTGTTGTATTGTTTTTATTATTTTCATGTCTTTGACTCAAAGTTCATATATACCTGACTTTCTGCAAAATTTTATATTTTGCTGTTTGATATATTGTAAAAGCTTGTAAGTTACAAGTCTTTTTGTTGCAAAAATGGAACACTATACTTATAAATAAAAATAGAATGTTGTTTGAGTGCTAGGGTGAGGTTTTGGGTTGGTTACTGATACAGGTAAGGTTAATTATATATGTACCATCACGACAGTGATTGCCATACAAACTCCTGTATAGACAGGACTGTGGCCTTAAATCTTAATTCCTACAGTTGCATCAATAGATGTTTAATTCATGAGCCAACCAGACTGGACAGGCATCACAGCACAGTAAGCAGGTTGGTGCTTGAACTTTAATCCTTCTTCCTCAATTTATATGTATATTGGATTCATCTTGGTGAAAAAACAAAACAAAAAAATAGATTATTTCAATACGATGACATTGTCCATGTGATGCTTGATCTGTGAGGAAAAAATTATTTTAAGGCAGAGTCTGTTTTTACTTGTTACTATTTTCTGTTTTGCTTTTTTCTTTTACACCTTTGTACAATTTTGAGTTAGAATTATGGTGCCATTAACATGTCGGGTATTGCACTACTTGTGAAGTTCCCTGCACCATAAAGTTTCTTTTCTCCAACTTAGATGGATTTATGCTGATGGCCTGTAGATATTCAAACAACTTCTGTTTTCTGGCAAAATTGCTGCAATTTTCTGACTTCTGATTGGCTAATATCTTTTCACCGATAAATCTTGTTCTATTCAGAGCATCAAGATGGGATTTGGTGGAAAGGATAAGTATAGGGTCATCTATTAGTTGGCATAACAAAAAACAGTGACATTTTCACAAAATGGCTGCCAAATGGAGGTTTCTGATTGGTGGAAGTTTTAATAAAATTTGGTATGTATGTGTAGTATGACATCTAAATCATGATGATGATGTCTGTTTTCTGATTGGGCAAAGTGGCCGAATAGGGGTGTTAATTGAAAGCTTCATTTTTATAGGTGTGCATCAGGGTACCCAGCAAGTGTTATGTTCATTGTTTAAAATATTGAAATGGTGCACTGGGTGATGCAAAGCTTCCTTGCAAGCTATGTTGAAGCACGACTGAAAGAGAAGTTTAGGGGACTGCAGTAACCAGTAACAGGTCCCTTTACACTTGGTCAACATTAAATTGGAGGAAGGGAAGAGAGGGGGGTTTTCCCATGTTTTCTTCCACCAAATTATTTCTTCCTTATTGACACAATGTGTTGCATTCCATTTTTGTGCCTCTTTGATCTAGGTGAAATCTATCTTTAAGAAACTTGGCTTTTTCCATGATGTGTTACATGCTATTTTCACATCCTTTCAGTCAAGGTCACTGATCAAGGTCAAATGTCAAATCATCTTCATTACTGAAGATTATTAAAACATTACACAAATGCTGTAATTGCAGTACCCTACATGTCACATTCCACTTGAACATCTATTTTAATCACGAATGTTGTTTGAAGTTAAATTCAGGTCCAACAAATAAATGTTTTATGCTTTAAACATCTTAAAACACTGTTATAAATATCATTCGATATTGTATGCTGCAGTCACATTAAGAACCTTTAAAATCAGCATTATATACAAAATTATACTAACATTACCATCAAACAGAGGAAGGGAACATGTTTTCATGTAATTTAGGATTTTTCCTCTTTATACAGGACAGTTCTAGAAGATTGTCCCATTTTAGTTACAGAATATTATTGAAAACTTCCTTTATTTCATTTTCCTGCACGACTTTGTGAATGACTTTGCCAAGTGGTCTGCCACTTTTAGAATATGTAAATGAAAAGTAGAAGCTATTTCCTTTCAAAGTAATTGAGAAAGTAAATTCTTACTGTTTTCAGATTGTCCTATATATAGCTCGAAAACATTTGGCACAAGTCATTTGTGATATAAAGAAGATTTTTCCAGTGCTGTATACAATGTGATATGAGGTTTTAGTCTTGTTTAGAACAGCTAGCCACATCAGGGGATTATTGGAGGCTGGTAACTGACACAGTTGTCTGCCAGATATGTCTCCTAATTTGTTGACTGTATTCTTAAAAAAATGTGCTTGATAGTGGATGACTTTGGAGTAATTACTGTTAATTGTTGTTAAAGACATTTTCAGAACTCAATATCATTGTTATAAGATATTTACACAATAGCGATCTTATAATAAAAACAAACTGATAAACAGATTCTTGTCAATTTCTATGTCCTCTTAGCTGTTCATGTCTCTGGACTTTGTTTAAATTTTGTCTCACTTAATTTTATGTGTGTACAGCACAACCATACATATATCAATGACGTACAAGACAAACAAACTTGGATTCAAAGTGGCTAACATGTCTCGTGCTGTACAAAACATTCAGGCAGGCATAAATGCTCTTCAAAAACAATCAAACATGAAACAAATATGAAAAAAGACAGTCAAGAATTAACCAAAGATGAATGAGACAGCCATGCATGAATGAAAGATTAACAAGACAGCCATGCACGAATGAAAGATTAACAAGACAGCCATGCACGAATGAAAGATTAACAAGACAGCCATGCACGAATGAAAGATTAACAAGACAGCCATGCACGAATGAAAGATTAACAAGACAGCCATGCACGAATGAAAGATTAACAAGACAGCCATGCACGAATGAAAGATTAACAAGACAGCCATGCACGAATGAAAGATTAACAAGACAGCCATGCACGAATGAAAGATTAACAAGACAGCCATGCACGAATGAAAGATTAACAAGACAGCCATGCACAAATGAAAGATTAACAAGACAGCCATGCACGAATGAAAGATTAACAAGACAGCCATGCACGAATGAAAGATTAACAAGACAGCCATGCACGAATGAAAGATTAACAAGACAGCCATGCACGAATGAAAGATTAACAAGACAGCCATGCACGAATGAAAGATTAACAAGACAGCCATGCACGAATGAAAGATTAACAAGACAGCCATGCACGAATGAAAGATTAACAAGACAGCCATGCACGAATGAAAGATTAACAAGACAGCCATGCACGAATGAAAGATTAACAAGACAGCCATGCACGAATGAAAGATTAACAAGACAGCCATGCACGAATGAAATATTAACAAGACAGCCATGCACGAATGAAAGATTAACAAGACAGCCATGCACGAATGAAAGATTAACAAGACAGCCATGCACGAATGAAAGATTAACAAGACAGCCATGCACGAATGAAAGATTAACAAGACAGCCATGCACGATTGAAATATTAACAAGACAGCCATGCACGAAAAAGATTAACAAGACAGCCATGCACGAATGAAAGATTAACAAGACAGCCATGCACGAATGAAAGATTAACAAGACAGCCATGCACGAATGAAATATCAACAAGACAGCCATGCATGAATCAAATATCAACAAGACAGCCAATCATGACTCAAATATCAACAAGACAGCCAATCATGACTCAAATATCAACAAGACAGCCAATCATGACTCAAATATCAACAAGACAGCCAATCATGACTCAAATATGAACAAAACAACCAATCAGGACTCGAATATGAACAACTAAGCATGGACCAAATATGAACAAGACAACCATGCCTGAACCAAACATTTACCACACAACCAAACAAGAATCCAAGTTGTATAAAAATGAACAAAAAATGAAACGGAAGCAAAAATTGCAAATGTCCCATGACAGCCAATGATGAATTAATAACTGTGGAAGACAAGTAGAAGTGGCTGATGTCCCATGACAGCCAATGGTGAATTAATAACTGTGGAAGACAAGTAGAAATGGCTGATGTCCCATGACAGCCAATGGTGAATTAATAACTGTAGAAGACAAGTAGAAATGGCTTATGTCCCATGACAGCCAATGGTGAATTAATAACTGTAGAAGACAAGTAGAAATGGCTAATGTCCCATGACAGCCAATGGTGAATTAATAACTGCAGAAGACAATCAAACATGTATCAAAACTGTGTATGAAACAAAACTGTTTAAGATACACACGCATGACCTAATATTTACAGCCAAACAATCAAATATGTTAAAGGCAACAAAGCATAGACTCAAGTGTTCGAAATACAACCAAACTTCGACCAAATTGCAAGAGAAAAACAAATCAAAACAGTTCAAGACAACCAACTAGGAATGGAATCAGTACAAGGCAGCGAGGCATGGCTCAAATGTTGGAAGACAACCAAGCGTGACTCTAACCGGTACAAGCCAGTCAAGCATTAATAAAAAAAACAGGAAACCAAGCATGTCTCAAAGTTGAACGTACAAGACAACAAAAAATAAAGGGATATTGTTTAAAATTATCCCGATATCTAAGTCTATCATCCCTTTTTGGTGTTTCACTTTTGTGATTTTTAGTGACAGGAAATCCAATACTGATGATTTCTTATCGTACCTATCTAACGACTGAAGGATCTTACAAATTCAAATTGATTATATATTTTATTCCCCGCATTAAAAAACGGCCCAGTTACCAAGTCAATCACATACAAGTACTTGTACGTACATAATCACCCATTTAAAGTGAAGGCTATTATATAAGTGGGATATGTGTGTATAATCGTGTTCTGTTTTCAAGGTGTATAAACTACCTTTCTACCCAGTTCGGATCTGCGTTCCTGGGAACGCTTTCGTATCCACTTTGGTTAATTTGCATATACATCAAATCTGGAGATTAAATCAATCGTTTCTTTTGACATAACATTCCGCTTGTGAAGGTTTCCGGGACGTTTTTGTTTGAAATACAACACTCACCTGTAACGTGGCTGGTTATTTGTACAAACTTATCGTCTCGATGGTTCTAACTAGTCAATGAAAACTAAGCCCCTTTATGGTCGAGTATGGGTACTTTTCAATAAAGGGACTTTCCTCAAGGGCCTATTGGGGTCCCATATAGCCGATCTCGGAGTTGTATATCATAGATCACTTTGTTGGGAGGATCAGAGTCGAGCCCAATAGACTGATCAAGAGGATCGCCTGCCTGGAACAGGGATTATGTCTGATCCGTCGTGATAGAGTAATACTGCCCTGCTCGCTGAACAGTAATCCGTACTATATTTCTCAGTAACAGTAATCCGTACTATATTTCTCAGTAACTAAGCCGTACTATATCTCTCAGTGAGCAGTAACTAAGCCGTACTATATCTCTCAGTGAGCAGTAACTAAGTCGTACTACATTTCTCAGTAACAGTAATCCGTACTACATTTCTCAGTAACAGTAATTCGTACATTTCTCAGTAACAGTAATCCGTACCACATTTCTCAGTAACAGTAATTCGTACTACATTTCTCAGTAACAGTAATTCGTACTACATTTTTCAGTAACAGTAATCCGTACTACATTTCTCAGTAACAGTAATTCGTACTACATTTCTCAGTAACAGTAATTCTACTATATTTCTCAGTGAGCAGTAACTAAGCCGTACTATATTTCTCAGTGAGCAGTAACTAAGCCGTACTATCTCTCTCAGTGAGCAGTAACTAAGCCGTACTATCTCTCTCAGTGAGCAGTAACTAAGCCGTACTATCTCTCACAGTGAGCAGTAACTAAGCCGTACTATCTCTCTCAGTGAGCAGTAACTAAGCCGTACTATCTCTCTCAGTGAGCAGTAACTAAGCCGTACTATCTCTCTCAGTGAGCAGTAACTAAGCCGTACTATCTCTCTCAGTGAGCAGTAACTAAGCCGTACTATCTCTCTCAGTGAGCAGTAACTAAGCCGTACTATATTTCTCAGTAACAGTAATTCGTACTATATTTCTCAGTAACAGTAATTCGTACTATATTTCTCAGTAACAGTAATCCGTACTATATTTCTCAGTAACAGTAATCCGTACTATATTTCTCAGTCACAGTAATTTGTACTATATTTCTCAGTAACTTATCCTTACTACATTTCTCAGTGAGCAGTAACTAAGCCGTACTATCTCTCTAAGTGAGCAGTAACTAAGCCGTACTATCTCTCTCAGTGAGCAGTAACTAAGCCGTACTATCTCTCTCAGTGAGCAGTAACTAAGCCGTACTATATTTCTCAGTAACAGTAATTCGTACTATATTTCTCAGTAACAGTAATTCGTACTACATTTCTCAGTAACAGTAATTCGTACTACATTTCTCAGTAACAGTAATTCGTACTATATTTCTCAGTAACAGTAATTCGTACTATATTTCTCAGTAACAGTAATCCGTACTATATTTCTCAGTAACAGTAATCCGTACTATATTTCTCAGTCACAGTAATTCGTACTACATTTCTCAGTAACAGTAATTCGTACTACATTTTTCAGTAACAGTAATCCGTACTACATTTCTCAGTAACAGTAATTCGTACTACATTTCTCAGTAACAGTAATTCGTACTATATTTCTCAGTGAGCAGTAACTAAGCCGTACTATATTTCTCAGTGAGCAGTAACTAAGCCGTACTATATCTCTCAGTGAGCAGTAACTAAGCCGTACTATCTCTCACAGTGAGCAGTAACTAAGCCGTACTATCTCTCACAGTGAGCAGTAACTAAGCCGTACTATCTCTCTCAGTGAGCAGTAACTAAGCCGTACTATCTCTCTCAGTGAGCAGTAACTAAGCCGTACTATCTCTCTCAGTGAGCAGTAACTAAGCCGTACTATCTCTCTCAGTGAGCAGTAACTAAGCCGTACTATCTCTCTCTCTCTCAGTGAGCAGTAACTAAGCCGTACTATCTCTCTCAGTGAGCAGTAACTAAGCCGTACTATCTCTCTCAGTGAGCAGTAACTAAGCTGTACTATCTCTCTCAGTGAGCAGTAACTAGGCCGTACTATCTCTCTCAGTGAGCAGTAACTAAGCCGTACTATCTCTCTCAGTGAGCAGTAACTAAGCCGTACTATCTCTCTAAGTGAGCAGTAACTAAGCCGTACTATCTCTCACAGTGAGCAGTAACTAAGCCGTACTATCTCTCTCAGTGAGCAGTAACTAAGCCGTACTATCTCTCTCAGTGAGCAGTAACTAAGCCGTACTATCTCTCACAGTGAGCAGTAACTAAGCCGTACTATCTCTCTCAGTGAGCAGTAACTAAGCCATACTATCTCTCTCAGTGAGCAGTAACTAAGCCGTACTATCTCTCTCAGTGAGCAGTAACTAAGCCGTACTATCTCTCTCAGTGAGCAGTAACTAAGCCGTACTACATTTCTCAATGAGCAGTA